TGTCGGTTGGTGTTTCTTTAAGGAGTTTTTTAGGGTCTATAATAAGTGTGGCGACTACGTGCTTTGCTGCGCAAAACGACGTCGCCTATTGAAGCATTTTTACCATYGACGATAATAACTTACTATTGTTAATRTAYAATTATACTGGCTTAGGTGAAGCTCTTCTTCAAAASACCATTAACGAACCGTGGATAGTGCACCATGGACTGCCTAGAGTTCTTTCAGCATCATTTGGTATGGTCAAACCACAAGACATGGTTCCGGTCCTAAACCAGCGTCAGCCCGGCACTGACAAAAAAGATTTCTGCTTCAAATTCYCTGACACAAGCTCTTTAGATCCCAATGATTTCAGTAATTCTCCTGTTCTGCAAGAGCTAATCACTTCCTTGATKGCATCTTCGTAAATTTAACAAATTAATCCATTTTGTAATCCTTGTTTGTAATTAATAAGAMCTAGTAACTGAGAATTGGACTACTTCAAGAAAGATCGCCAGAGAGAGAGAAAGCTGTATTTTTCTACCTACCCCGTGAAATAAAATAAAACTATTAAAGTGTGATAGAAAATTACAAACACTAAAACTGCAATATATCACTGGAAAATCTCAGTCTTTTACATACTATGTAAATATTTTGGAAATTGTATTTTACAAACAATTTTCTCACATTTACAAAAAATCTACATTGAGTACGAGGACGACAAATGATTTACAAAGTCTTTTGAAATTTACATAGTATGTAAAAGTACCTTGGTCCTGTAAAATCAATTTTACAGTCTGTTTACAAACAATTTACACATCGTTTACATATATATAGTATGTAAAAGTCTGAGGTTTTCCAGTAATATATATCACTAATTATGCAAATTCTATTGTTTTCTATTTAGCTCTATTTTGTGGTAAATAGTGTAAAGTATTGCACGCTTTTAGTTGTACTCTAGTCAAATAGAGACAATTTGAAATAGAGGATACTAAGCAAKGTGTATTTGTGTAATATCTATTTCACGTTTTTTTTTTATTTAACATAAAGCGTGAAACACTAATTAATTGCTTGTGATGTACTCCATTAAATACAAATAAAAAACAATCAAAACAAAGTCTGCTACTACCAATTACTCTTTCACGTATTAGAGTGCACGTCACATAACTAAGCATGAAACAATTCTTAATATCTATTGCTAAATAAGATTTAGTTATCAACTAACTAAGAATTCAACAAAGCATAAACACAATGCCAATTATTTAAATTCCTTTGTAGCATTGTTCTCAATTCTTAGTTAGTTGATAACTAAATCTTATTTAGCACTACATAATTAAGAATTGTTTCATGCTTATGTGACTTGCACTCTAATTAAAAAGACTGTAATGTTTTTCTTTTCTTTTTTCTTTTTCTTTTCTTTTCAAGGGTTTATTGMWTGCACTCCTATTTCTACGRGCTCTGGCTACTCGCTCAGGCCTGTTTTAGCTTGTTTTTCGCATTATAAGTTTTTGAGATACCGCTGACCGACAATTCAATGGGTACCCATTTCTTAGCAACATATTTGATTGACATGGCAAGTGAACTGGCACTCCTATGTCTTTGAATTCCATCACATCACAATCAAATTTGTGCTCATCTACGAAGATAAACTATTTTGTACTCTTGAGCCTAATCTTCTGAAGAAAACCCCCCAAAACATAAAAATTGCATCTTAGAGTTCTTTCAAGACTTCCACATACAATTCAGGTAAGATATTGTTGTGTAAGCTTTCACTTTTTCTGATATTTCAAACAAAGTTACAAAGAAGTTGGATTATAATGGCATTCGAAGTACGTGGATGAATTCAATACTCTACCGATAGTACAACATAGTACTACATCGTATATCATAGTCGTATACTTTTAAAATATATTATAAAATTTCACGTTTTGTCGAGATCCAAAGTTTGTTCATATAAAAGTAGAAATTGCTTCGTTAGCAACTTACGTTATGGAATGTGAGCGAATATATATTAGCAACTTAAATATCAATATATCAATGACTCAGCTCGCTCCAAATGGATGAATTGTCCTTCTAAAACTTAGTTTTTAAAGCTTAGATATTTATTTTCAGAAAAATATTGTTGTTTTTATAATTCTTTGCTTTTTCTAGATGTTTCATGGTTGAGAGATTCTATCGATCAAGTGATTCATTATAGCTATATATCAGCAATKCTAGAACTTCGCTATACCAACTGCAAGTAATTGGCATAAGTTAGTTTATGTGCTAAAAATGATAGACGAAAAACTATCAATATTAAAACTATGTTTTGCTGGGCATGTGCATGTTTTATAGAACAGCAAGGAAAGCATTAAAATCTCAAGGAAAATGTCAACACGATCTCTCTGACTCAAAACATCGCTCTAGTACTAAAGGTTGCATAAAATTTATTAAAAGATCGTTTCCACGCGTGTAGCAACATGCATGCATCGCGCGACAAACATTTTTGTCATTGACAACTTAGAAGTGAACTAGTTCTGAAACTTCTCTTCCTGTCGCGTGTGGCATGGCCTCGAGTTCTTAAAACAACTGATCTGTAGCAAGAAGAGAACATTGAAGTAAACTGACATTGTGGTCTACCGCAGATTACTTCCGATAAAACTATCTGGGTGTTCAAAATATAACTGACATTTTTATTGGGATTTGTTTCTTATTTAGTCCAAGAGATTGAAGGATAAAAATAAAGGATTTCAAAAGTAAGATGACGTCATTTCCTGTAAAGTTTGCTATTGAAGCCCAAGCACTGAGGCTTGACTTTCAGTTAACAGTTTCAGCAGCCTTTTATAGTGATTGAAAATA